ATCTCTGAGTGACCAAAACACAACTGTCCATAGGAACATATATGCTATAATGAACTGAAAAAGAAATGCAAATACTAGAAGCTAAAATTAAAAATATTCACATTCAGCATCTGCGAAGGTACACATGACATGCTCGGATAGTAATTTAAACTGATACATCGAATCAGAACTAGTTTTCCCCAATCGGTAGCTTGTTTGAGAATATATTTTTAACATTATTTGAAGCTTAATTAATAAACGGCTAATTATTCTTGTCTACACACTCAGAATGCCTTGACATTCATCATATGACTAAAATATCTTACTAAAAAAATATTGCCGCATACTATATATTTAAAGTGAATTAGGAGCGTGTAGATTCCATGAGCCAAATCCATACACGCACGACTCACCGAATGTACATAAAAATTGAGTTAGGAAGATTTAGCATGCATGAACGAGATTTAAAAAGATGCGACTACCTGTGCCTCGAAATTCTTTCCAAGAAGACATAGATCTGGAGCAGCATTCACTCCTCTCAGGCACAGCTGACAAAACTTATAGTTTTTTATGCCTGTCGGACAATTTTTTGTTTACTCGTAGATTTTAGTTTGGTAACATCTTATGATCTGATGTAAAATTACAACATCGGTGTCTCACACTTTAAGGAAGTTTCGGATTACAGTTATGGAATACACACACACACACACACACACACACACACACACACACATTCTCCAGGTCAGCAATTTCGCCTGCCTCGAAAGGGGCAGTTAGTGTGCAGCAGTATTCCAGCCTAGAGAGAACAAGCGAGAAACTGACAAGATAAACTGACTGAGAGAAATTTATAAGGTTAATATGGATCGAATATTACCGAGATAAGACACATCAACAAGTGGTCACAACTGGAAATTGAAAACTAGGATGAGTCACAGGGATGTTACGAAGTATTTCTTCAGTCATAGAGTTGTCAGAAAGTGGAACAATCCAGAGAGTGATGTAGTGGAGGCAGGAATCATACATAGCTTTAAGAAGAGGTACGATAAAGTTCACGGAACAGGGAGAAAGTGGACTTAGTAGCTACCTACTCCAGGTAGGAAGGTAGACCACAAAATGACGGGACTAGGAGCTGTGAATCGACCTCTGCAATAGGTGAGTGCACATGCAGACATTAATGCGGAATGACCAAGACAGCGAAGAAGTAGATACAGGAACCATGCATAGTTTAAAGAATAGGTACGATCGAGCTCCGTCGACCATATGAGAGTGAGCCAAGTAGCAGCCACTGAAGAGGCGGGGACAGGAGCTGAGATTCGACCCCAACAACCACAAACAGATGAGTACAAACAGCCGAGTACACAAATGGTAACTAAGAGACACAAACCTGTGGGTACTTGTAAGTTAACACAAACACTCACGCCACGCTACATGAACCCAGCACAAAGTGAACAACTATTGATTACTCTCCTTGGACACGGAAATATGAAATTCACATAAATTTCGCAATTACTCATTGTTGTAATTTACATTTTCTTCAAGTTTTCGGTGTAGAATATTGTACAAAGTTCAGTATATTCTCCAGGGTCAATTTGAACGTTATTTTATTATGCATAATTCCGAGTAATTATAATAAGGAAATGTAGACTTTTGAAGTTCAAATTTATAAATGCACTGCATATAACGTCATCATATTAGAAATTGCGTCAAACTCGTATTTAAAGTTTATTGGTCGGATCTGATGATCAGAAAAGCTGAAAAAAAGTCTCTCATTTATAAATATGAATATAAACAAATTTTTAATAGTATAAGCTTTATAAACACAGAATACAGGACGATGTACAGAACTGGGTATATAAATTTGGTCAGCAGGAAAAGCTATCTTAATATTTTAAAACAGAAAGTATTGTTTAACCTTTCTGGTCCTAACACAGCAGGCCTTTCGGTGGATCAAGGCTTGAACAACCAGGCTGATACTGCTGGCCGCACGCAAACCAACGTATAAACCAAAGCACGGCTGATCGGGCATTGACTAGCTGCCTGTCCAGTTCCCTCTTACAGACAGCCTGGGGATCTAATAATAATCCCCCTTATGTATGATGATAGGCTGTTGAACTGTCTTGGACCCAGGACACGTTTGCCGAATCTTGCTTTCGTAGGAAATACATAAAATAAATAAAGATTTACTGCCGGGGTCACCAGGACTACATGTGAACAATTTCGTTTGAATACAAGACTTACTATTATTGACAGATTTTAATGGCTCGAGAAGTTGATTTGATGAATGTACCAAATTGAAAAGAAAACTGTGTTGTTCAAAATATAATCTACTTCTTAGATTTAGAAGAATCTGTAACAGTAGAACTGTGTCGATTTTCATTTTATTACACAGATATGGTGATGGATCAAGCGAGAGATAAGAGATTTGATGCGGAAATGTATAGCTTTCTTTTTAATTTCTTTTTACAATTTAAAATATACATGTTGCATTATGTAATCATTTGATTTCAAACAGTATTCTCGGAGTTTTTTTTTTTTTTAAATTTTATTATGAGAAGTTTGATTAACAAATACGGTCAACCCTAAGTATAGGAGATGGTAGAAGGAGGGACTGGGACTGGAGGAAGCAGAAACGGAACAGATTTCGGGGAAACTGCCTCGAATTCGAGCAAAATGGAAAGAAGTGAAAAATACCAATTCAGAGACGACCTTTTATCAGAGAAATTTTATCTGTACTTCTTGAACAATTACGTAAATTCCAGTAAGTTATATTTAACATTTTTCTCACCATCGCTCACATATGGTGGGAAAAAGACTCAATCACTGGTCCTACCACAAACATTAGTTTGGTCAATTACAATGTATTGCATAAAAATAAGCAACTTCTCACCTTTTCTGACCAGTTTCCATTCACCAACTGGGTCAAAAAATCAGTCGTTATAACAAATCCTCCGCCAACAGAAATCAGACGCAAGTTGATATTTATTTTGATATTTAACGTTTTATTTTTCAATGCAATGAGTTACCTTGATTTCTCAGAGGACCTGCACAACAGAACAGTGTTCAGTTTTACTTGTTCGATAGTTAACGAGGCTTGAAAACTATATATATTAAGAAAATGTCATTAAGGCTGTATCTCGCTCACCACTAGTCAAGATTATTTAAAACACTGAAGATAAGAACTAAAGTCAGCCATGATTGTATATGCAGGGAGACATATTTACCTTACAGCATACTTATCTTTTGATTTGTTTTTAGTTGGTTAATGAGATTTGTAGCCTATATTCTACATGATGGTCGTTGAGGCTACGTGTAAGCTATTCATTACAAGACAAAAATACTTTAATCCTAGACACGTACCTCTCGGTGAACGTATATATCCTCGGTACTTGCTTATTGGTTAATAGGGTTTGAAACCCATCGACTACACGAGGTTCATTAATGCTACATGTAACCTGTTCACCACCAGACAAGAACATTCTAATCTCTTTAATAAATATTAAAGTAAACTCTCAGAACAAACTTTGAGAGTCACACACCTCTCAGTGTATATATCCTTTTCACATTTGTATTCATTGGTTAATTAGCTATAAAGCCTATTGTTTATTTAAATGTCATTACGGCTGCATATCATCTATTCACAACTCATAAAGAATTCTTCGGTATCTTAAATAGGGATAAAAATCTGTTAACCGAGATATACATGTCCAAGTGCACTAAATAGATCCTATTATATTAGTTGGTTAGTTAATGGGATTAAAAATTATCGACTATAAAAGGGCCTTTAAGACTACATGTAAAACCTAATTACCACAGGACAAGAATTCATTAATCATTAAAACAGAGATTATAGTAAATTCTTAGCATTTACACTGAGAGACATACATCTGTCGGTCAATAAACCTTGTGTTGACTTTATTTTGTATTATCATAGTGTTTCTATAATAATAATAATAATAATAATAATAATAATAATAATAATAATAATAATAAAAAGGGAAGCCTGAGCTTGCTACCACCTGCAGCTCACAAGACTGTCATCACCACGAGCCTCTTTGAGGCGGGCAGATGGCAGACCAGAGGCCTAGCTTCTCCCTACGAGCCCCGTGAGGGCGGGGACTATGGCTAGGCCTGGGGACACTTGGTCCCAAAGATGAGGGGGTACTTGTACCTCCTCCCATGGGAGGCTTAGGTCTCGAGACACTTCCCAGATAGGGAGCCAAGGCCGGGTGATCACTCTTGGAAAAGACACGGGCCTGGAGAATACCAGCGAATAAAAATAAAAATAAATAAAATAATAATGGTAGATATTAGGTTTGTCAGCAAACAGGTTAAGTATTTCCTGACGCGGAACTCAGTCGTATGTTGACGCACAGCTGGAGCTTTTGGTCATGAGACCGAGGCCTTCCGCTGGCTTACCTTTCCACCCCTTTAAAAATCATGGTTATACTTATATCCAGCTCTAAAGGTAGGTATAATGTTTATTATTTATTATTATTAAACACTTAAACATCTTAAATCTATTTAAATGATTTTTTTTTGTGTATGAACCGAAGGAATTTTGGATTTTAATACATTTTCGCGATATTCTAAATATTTTTTTTACCATGCTGGTTTGGTGAGACTTTTCATTCAAGGAATAGCATTTCTACATCGTCATTTACTTTAAGAATATTCTTGAAGCTAACTAGCAAATTTAATATATTTGTCATTAATTTTGTTGCATCGCTCCTTGAAAAAGTATTTGCAAAGTATATCTACGAATCTCATAAAAGTAATATAAGATCAAATGGAAACTGGTTTTTCCACAACCGCCACTATCCAGTTTTATGAATGAAGATATTTCGAGTGTTGTATATTGCTAATCAATACGAAATATATTCAAGACGTCGCCAGTGGCAACAGATATGTTTCGAAGAAAACGAAACACTATCATCCAGTTTTCGCTGAGAACTTAATAATTGATAAATATTGCTGGGGGAAGGGGGGGGATAATGGGTGGTAAAAATGAGGAGTCATTCCGGCTGCGACACTGAAGGAGAACTGGTGAAGCGCTGGTGTGTCTTGATCAACTGAGTGACGCACAGGACGTGAACTGAGTGCTACTGGAGACACACTAGGAAAGGTCAGTTAAGATGATGAAAGCGTAAGAAGAAAAACAGATTGTACATCAACATTCATGATTGTATATACGCAGTAAATATGACTTGAATAAAAAAAAAGCTTGGTAGTCATATGGAGGAAATATATGTTAAAACAGAGTAAATTTCTTAATGCTGCATAAAACTTAAGGCGTTAAAAAAATTGTACCAGAAATTAGATTTATATATATATATATATATATATATATATATAATTTTATAATATATAATAAAATATATATATATATATATATATGACTGTGAAACAAAAACCTGTAACTGTTTTGCATGATGGTAGGATTGCTGGTTTCTTTTTCTGTCTCATAAACACGCTAAGATAACAGGGATATCTTGCTACTCCTACTTACACTTTGGTCACACTTCACAGACACGCACATCATATAATATATACAACATCTAGGTTTTTCTCCTTTTTCTAAATAGCTCTTGTTCTTTTTTTTATTTCTTCTATTGTCCATTGGGGAAGTGGAAAGAATCTTTCCTCCGTAAGCCATGCGTGTCGTATGAGGCGACTAAAATGCCGGAGCATGGCTAGAACCCCTTCTCCTGTATACAATTACTAAAAAAGAGAAGAAGAAAAACTTTATAAAACTGGGTTGCTTAAATGTGCGTGGGTTAGTGCGGATGACAAGAAACAGATGATTGCTGATGTTATGAATGAAAAGAAGTTGGATGTCCTGGCCCTAAGCGAAACAAAGCTGAAGGGGGTAGGGGAGTTTTCAGTGGGGGAAATAAATGGGATTAAATCTGGAGTATCTGAGAGAGTTAGAGCAAAGGAAGGGGGAGCAGTAATGTTAAATGATCAGTTATGGAAGGAGAAAAGAGAATATGAATGTGTAAATTCAAGAATTATGTGGATTAAAGTAAAGGTTTGGGTGCGAGAAGTGGGTCATAATAAGCGTGTATGCACCTGGAAAAGAGGAATGCAGAGGAGAGAGAGAGATTTTGGGAGATGTTAAGTGAATGTATAGGACCTTTGAACCAAGTGAGAGAGTAATTGTGGTAGGGGACTTGAATGCTAAAGTAGGAGAAACTTTTAGAGAGGTGTGGTAGGTAAGTTTGGGGTGCCAGGTGTAAATGATAATGGAGCCCTTTGATTGAACTTTGTATAGAAAGGGGTTTAGTTATAGGTAATACATATTTAAAGAAAAAGAGGATAAATAAGTATACACGATATGATGTAGGGCGAAATGACAGTAGTTTGTTGGATTATGTATGGTAGATAAAAGACTGTTGAGTAGACTTCAGGGTGTACATGTTTATAGAGGGGCCACAGATATATCAATCACTTTCTAGTTGTAGCTACACTGAGAGTAAAAGGTAGATGGGATACAAGGAAATAGAAGCATCAGGGGAAAAGAGAGGGGAAGGTTTATAAACTAAAAGAGGAGGCAGTTTAGGGTAAGATATAAACAGCTATTGGAGGATAGATGGGCTAATGAGAGCATAGGCAATGGGGTCGAAGAGGTATGGGGTAGGTTTAAAAATGTAGTGTTAGAGTGTTCAGCAAAGTTTGTGGTTACAGGAAAGTGGGTGCAGGAGGGAAGAGGACGATTGGTGGAATGATGATGTAAAGAGAGTAGTAAGGGAGAAAAAGTTAGCATATGAGAAGTTTTTACAAAGTAGAAGTGATGCAAGGAGGGAAGAGTATATGGAGAAAAAGAGAGAGGTTAAGAGAGTGGTGAAGCAATGTAAAAAGAAGAGCAAATGAGAGAGTGGGTGAGATGTTATCAACAAATTTTTGTTGAAAATAAGAAAAAGTTTTGGAGTGAGATTAACAAGTTAAGAAAGCCTAGAGAACAAATGGATTTGTCAGTTAAAAATAGGAGAGGAGAGTTATTAAATGGAGAGTTAGAGGTATTGGAAGATGGAAGGAATATTTTGAGGAATTGTTTAAATGTTGATGAAGATAGGGAAGCTGTGATTTCGTGTATAGGGCAAGGAGGAATAACATCTTGTAGGAGTGAGGAAGAGCCAGTTGTGAGTGTGGGGGAAGTTCGTGAGGCAGTAGGTAAAATGAAAGGGGGTAAGGCAGCCGGGATTGATGGGATAAAGATAGAAATGTTAAAAGCAGGTGGGGATATAGTTTTGGAGTGGTTGGTGCAATTATTTAATAAATGTATGGAAGAGGGTAAGGTACCTAGGGATTGGCAGAGAGCATGCATAGTTCCTTTGTATAAAGGCAAAGGGGATAAAAGAGAGTGCAAAAATTATAGGGGGATAAGTCTGTTGAGTGTACCTGGTAAAGTGTATGGTAGAGTTATAATTGAAAGAATTAAGAGTAACGGAGAATAGGATAGCAGATGTACAAGGAGGCTTTAGGAAAGGTAGGGGGTGTGTGGACCAGGTGTTTACAGTGAAACATATAAGTGAACAGTATTTAGATAAGGCTAAAGAGGTCTTTGTGGCATTTATGGATTTGGAAAAGGCGTATGACAGGGTGGATAGGGGGCAATGTGGCAGATGTTGCAAGTGTATGGTGTAGGAGGTAGGTTACTGAAAGCAGTGAAGAGTTTTTACGAGGATAGTGAGGCTCAAGTTAGAGTATGTAGGAAAGAGGGAAATTTTTTCCCAGTAAAAGTAGGCCTTAGACAAGGATGTGTGATGTCACCGTGGTTGTTTAATATATTTATAGATGGGGTTGTAAGAGAAGTAAATGCGAGGGTCTTGGCAAGAGGCGTGGAGTTAAAAGATAAAGAATCACACACAAAGTGGGAGTTGTCACAGCTGCTCTTTGCTGATGACACTGTGCTCTTGGGAGATTCTGAAGAGAAGTTGCAGAGATTGGTGGATGAATTTGGTAGGGTGTGCAAAGAAGAAAATTAAAGGTGAATACAGGAAAGAGTAAGGTTATGAGGATAACAAAAAGATTAGGTGATGAAAGATTGAATATCAGATTGGAGGGAGAGAGTATGGAGGAGGTGAACGTATTCAGATATTTGGGAGTGGACGTGTCAGCGGATGGGTCTATGAAAGATGAGGTGAATCATAGAATTGATGAGGGAAAAAGAGTGAGTGGTGCACTTAGGAGTCTGTGGAGACAAAGAACTTTGTCCTTGGAGGCAAAGAGGGGAATGTATGAGAGTATAGTTTTACCAACGCTCTTATATGGGTGTGAAGCGTGGGTGATGAATGTTGCAGCGAGGAGAAGGCTGGAGGCAGTGGAGATGTCATGTCTGAGGCAATGTGTGGTGTGAATATAATGCAGAGAATTCGTAGTTTGGAAGTTAGGAGGAGGTGCGGGATTACCAAAACTGTTGTCCAGAGGGCTGAGGAAGGGTTGTTGAGGTGGTTCGGACATGTAGAGAGAATGGAGCGAAACAGAATGACTTCAAGAGTGTATCAGTCTGTAGTGGAAGGAAGGCGGGGTAGGGGTCGGCCTAGGAAGGGTTGGAGGGAGGGTAAAGGAGGTTTTGTGTGCGAGGGGCTTGGACTTCCAGCAGGCATGCGTGAGCGTGTTTGATAGGAGTGAATGGAGACAAATGGTTTTTAATACTTGACGTGCTGTTGGAGTGATGAGCAAAGTAACATTTATGAAGGGATTCAGGAAACCGCAGGCCGGACTTGAGTCCTGAGGATGGGAAGTACAGTGCCTGCACTCTGAAGGAGGGGTGTTAATGTTGCAGTTTAAAAACTGTAGTGTAAAGCACCCTTCTGGCAAGACAGTGATGGAGTGAATGATGGTGAAAGTTTTTCTTTTTCGGGCCACCCTGCCTTGGTGGGAATCGGCCGGTGTGATAATAAAAAAAAAAATATATATATATCGAATAAACGAGTAGGACTCGAATTCTTGGCAAGCCAGTAACAAAATTATCAAGCCAATATTGACGGTCACTGCACACTAGCACGGTACAGAATATGCCTGCTTGATTTAAGAATGAATTTCTATGGGCTAGAATCCTGCCATCTTGAAAGTCCTCTATAATCACGTCTTACCTCTTGGAAAATAATAATAGTGAAAGTGTTTCTTTGTCTGGTCACCATTCATCAGTGGAAGGAGGCCAGTGTGTTTATATATATATATATATATATATATATATATATATATATATATATATATAATATATATATATATAATGTGTGTGTGTGTGTATATATACATATATATATATAATATATATATATATATATATATATATAAATATAAATATATATATATATATATATATATATATATATATATAATACATATATATATATATATATAAATATATATATATATATATATATATATATATATATATAATATATATATATATATATATAAATATATATATATATATATATACAACCAAGTCTCTATGTTAATGAGGTTAGGATAATGCGATAGAGAAGTCATGAACATCCGTGATATTCGGAGATAAAATAATCGAAATACTAAGGAAAAAAATTCTGTGATAAAGAATAAAGAATACTAAGGAAAATCCAGTAACACTCATGATTGTATGTGCAATAATCAAGATACCAAGGAATAGTCATAATCAATAATATTTGGGTTTTCAGTAGGCTATGTTAAGGAATGTAAGAAGGGATACTCCTGAACATAAGCTAGAAATTTCTAGAACTTTCATGGATGTTTAGTAGTATAAGCTAACAATGGACACATTCGATTCCGTAATTAATACGAAGGTTTACATATAATTCCAGTGTTTATATCTGTATTGTCCACTTGGAAAAATATCTTATAGTACTTGATTAGATGCTGCTTATTACTGGCTTTTATTTGTCCATATTATTCTGCAACTTACTTTCTGGAAACCTCAGGGGTCCCCTCCTTATACCCTTCACCTCGTGTGGGTATTGATGGGACAGAATGATTGTTTGACGGAATGGTGCCTGACCGCCATTCTTAGGCAGACAAGCTATCATCAACGCGCTACGTTTCCTCTGAGAAAGCTTCCCCGTAGTCTACCTGTTGTTGCTCTTGCAATATTGCTAACTCCTGACGATGCACAAAGACGTATGAAAGATCCTGAGCTCAGGATATCTCCTTCCCCCGTGGCACTGTTAAGATCGCCTAAGATTATTGTGTGTGTGTGTGTGTGTGTGTGTGTGTGTGTGTGTGTGTGTGTGTGTGTGTGTGTGTTTGTTGTGTGTGTGTGTGTGTGTGTGTGTGTGTTGATGTTAGTTACCATTTTGTCCTAGGCACATGAGAAAGCTAACACATCCCTTATTTAATCCATTAAATTTTCGTAATTAAATAACTCTACAACCCTTGTTAAAATCTAGCAACCATCTCTGATGTTCCTAGAATAAATTATCCTTAAACAATAAGATATTACAATCCCTTCCTTTGAACATGCTGGAGTTTTGAGACTCTATGACCGCGGTTCAATCCCGGCCGGGGGTATGGTTTATTTGCAATCGTGTCATTACGATTTCTTGAGTCAGTTATTTTTCAACCTGTCTGCTAAAAATGCAAATGATCTTAATAAACAAATAAGCGTAGTAGTAGTAGTAAGTAGTAGTAGTAGTAGTAGTAGTAGTAGTAATAATAATAATAATAATAATAATAATAATAATAATAATAATAATAATAATAATAATAATAATAATAATAATAATAATAATAATGATGATGATGGTAATATATTTACATCTGTTCTACCAAGGTATATTACAACAGTGTTTTAATCTAAGACATTGTTTCGTTAATTTTCGTGCTGGTTCGGCAGACTGAGGAGAGATGCGAGTATTTACATTCTGGGTGGCGACAGCCCAAGTCTGCCTGAGCGGCTCAACACTGGCACAGAGAAACTGGGCATACTTCACGGCGCCGGGCTTAACATTCAACACTTCCCAAGCCAACAACATTTCAGTAGTTACAACCCCAGGTGAACTACTGCTGATCCTCATCAACATTTCACTATCACCACTCCTTCCCTGTTCTCTCTATGTTTACTTCTGAAAACCATAAACTCTTCCTGAGATTTTCTTAATGTGATTAATTTGACAATAAAAATGACGTCACCTCTCAGTGAGGTAAGCCACTGTGTTGTCACCGCTTACATATCACCCTCTTAATTAAATGTCACTGCTGCCCTGCACCACATCCCGTGCATCCCATCGGTATCATTTTTATTTTGTACTTTTAACTTTTTGTGATTGTTGTTCCATTATTAATTATTAATTAAAGATTAGCCGGTATTCTCCCGGCCCGGGCCTTTTCCAAGTGGTGGCCCGGCCTTGGCTCCCTCTTTAGGGAGTGTCTGAGACCTAAGTCTCCCATGGGAGGAGGCACAAGTACCTCCTCATCTTTGGGACCAACTGTCCCCAGGCCTAGCCACAAGCTAGGCCTCTCTGGTCTGCCATCCCCGCCCCAAGGGAGCAAATGGGAATGACAGTCTTATGAGCTAAAGGCTCGGGCTCGGGCACCTACCCTACCCTAGGAGGGTTCGGCATGGTGTCGATGTTGTTCCATTAATTACCAGGTATAGTATAACATGTAACAAAAAAAAATATATAAAACAATAACAAAACTATGCAAAGTTTAATTATAATTACTGATGATTTTGTTAAAAGTCTGAAAGAACAAAATTACTGTTTTACCAGACTACTGAAAATTTGCGTGTTCACGAAGACTGAACAGACGTTAAGTGGATTATTGAGTTTTAAGCCTCTCAGGTGGACGAAGGTCATTTAAGCAGCATGCAGCATTTATACTTACTGTCAGAAACGCTATAATCCTTAATGCTGGTATTTAATTAAATTCCCAGCGTATGTACAGTGCATTACGAACCATACGTCTCCGGTACATATATATTCGCTGAATGGAGGTTGGTCGTTTCATTTCATTTAATGCTTTTCGACTTAGTAAGGGTTCATGAGCCTCTACACCTGTATACCACCAACTGAGGATTCTTTTACCCTTAAATTAGAAAATAAAGTAAAATCTAAAGACGCTTGCTAAGACGCTTGCTAAGACGCTTGCTAAGACGCTTGCTAAGACGCTTGCTAAGCAATCTTAGCAAGCCTCCCTTGGAATGAAAATGCAGAGATTTCATATTCATTTTTGCAATTTTGCAAGCTCCTGATGATGTGTTGATTGTAAAACGAAAGTCCTGGAGCTGTTATTCAGCTCCTGTGGTTGTTTTGCCCTAGGCCTTTCGTATTGTAGCCAACACACTCAGGGGCTTTCAGTGTTGCAAGGGAAATAAGAAAGCACAGCCTGTGTATCCATGTGGACGTGTACACAGTGAAGAAAGGCTGAGATTCAGCAAGCCGGGTGGCGCCCGGCAATTTAATGCCTGATGCAAAACTACAAAGTGTCACGCCACTGCTCTAACACCCATGTCATCTAGCAAAACATCCAGTTTCACACCTAGTATTTAAATCTTGCTCTTTACCCCTTATATTATCTAGGAGCTGGGTAAACATATGTAAAATATGAAACATTTCCCTGTTTTGGTTTTAAAAATTAAAGAAGGGGCAAGTCCGAAAATTAAGCCACTATTCTAGCTACTAGGCCATAACAGCTTAAATATGATGCTCTGCAAACCAGCTACATTTTAAGCTTCTAAAGCTAGCGACCCAACTGCCATTTTTTTTTTTTTTGCAGAGAACATTTTCGGTAATCAAAAACCAGACCAAGATCTTGCGTCCTTAAAATAATAATAAACACCTGTATTAATTCGATGGTTTTCAGAGGTTTGTACTAGGTCAAGTTAAAATGCCAAGTCATGGCCATAGCTACCAGGTTATGACAGCTTCCATACGATGCCTCATAATCTAATTCCAACGTGAACTTGGAAACATTGCAGAGGCAAAGCCAAAGGATGCCATATTCCCTTGACATCACAATCTACACCAAAGTCTTGCTTTTGTTTCCGTAAGTCATCAACGATATGGGTAAATGCTATATATGACTAACAATTCATAGACGTAGACGTATAAGAGACTTAAAGTAGTGTAAAATCAGAATGCCAAGCACGGTTCTAGCTCCTGGGAAAGAGAAATAAATACTCAAGTATTGAGAAACCTCCAGAATTTTACCTTTAGTCTTTTTCTTCTCTTTTCCGAGGTTTGGTGTTCAGAATCAAAATTTCACTACGTCACTTTGCAATAACTGAATATAAGAATATCATAATTACTTCAACTTATTTAACAGAATGTTCCTGAAAACCATATATAACTGGTAAAGGCAATTCAGCTAATTCTGTCGTTTTTTTCAAGCCTTCTCATTATTACAGATTCCGACATTCAGCTAAAATCCTCTTCTATAAAACGTTTCCACTAAAAACTTCACAGCTGTGGTTAGTATGACTGAATTATTCAAAAGATTTTTCGGTTTTCAGGATGATTTACGGAGATATTACATCATATATACGTAAATATACATACATGAATAACAAAAAGGCACAATACCGTGACTGGAACGATACACAAATAACCCGCACATAAAAGAGAGAAGCTTACGACGACGTTTCGGTCCGACTTGGACCATTGACAAAGTCACAGTGTGACTTTGTCAATGGTCCAAGTCGGACCGAAACGTCGTCGTAAGCTTCTCTCTTTTATGTGCGGGTTATTTGTGTATACATACATGTATATATATATATATATATATATATATATATATATATATATATATATATATATATATATATATATATATATATATATATAATTATAATTGTACCCACGGAGCAAGTGATATTGATCAATAACAACACTGCACTAGCCAAGGAGTCGAACCCATCCTGTTTTGGCCCGCCTCATGGTGAGAGAAAACTAATGACACTTTAGACCACACATTCTCTCACCATGAGGCGGGCCAAAACAGCTTGGTTCGACTCCTTGGATATATATATATATATATATATATATATATATATATATATATATATATATATATATATATATATATATATATATATATATATATATATATATATATTACGCTTTAAACCACAGGACCACCCAACCCTACAAGAATGGCGCAGCCAGCAGAGCTAGCTGCTGGGCCGCCATCCGAGGGCATACGGAGGTGTGGGAGCTTCTAAGCTAATTTCATTCTCATCCCTGTTTGGTGTACTAGCCTCACGAGCAGCATTTATATGTTATTGCAACCACGGACGAGTGGTATTGATCAATAACAACACTGTGCTAGCCAAGGATTCGAACCCATGCTGTAGTAGTTTGCCTCATGGTAAGCGAGAACCACATGATGCTGTGAACCTCAGGACCACCCAACCCTACAAGAATGGCGCAGCCGCCATCCGAGGGTATACGAACGTGTTGGAGCTTCTAAGCTAATTTCATTCTCATCCCAGTTTGGTGTACTAGCCTCACGAGCAGCATTTATATATTATTGTAACCACGGACGATTGGTATTGATCAATAACAACACTGTGCTAGCTCTGCTGGCTGCGCCATTCTTGTAGGGTTGTGTGGTCCTGTGGTTTAAAGCGTCATGTGGTTCTCGCTTACAATGAGGTATTCCAGTACAACATGGGTTCGAATCCTTGGCTAGCGCAGTGTTGTTATTGATCAATACCACTCGTCCGTGGTTACTATAATATATATATATATATATATATATATATATATATATATATATATATATATATATATATATTATATTCTTTCTTTCACGCACCAGCCGTATCCCACTGAGGTGGGGTGGCCCAAAAGAAAAAACGAAAGGTTTCTCCTTTTAAATTTAGTAATATAAGAGAAGGGTTCTGCCCTTTAACTGATTATATCGTTTACGACATGGCTTACGGAGCAGATTCTGTCCCTTCCCTTATATTCGCTTTAACGAATCATGCATTAGAGATAAATATCTATTCATTTCCCAATATATATATATTATATATATATATATATATATATATATATTATATATATATATATATATATAATATATATTATTTCTGATGACATTTCACTGCAAAACTTCCAAAGGTGTTATCCCTGAGCTGTCGTTTTAGGCTGTATTGTGTTATAAATGGCCATTCGTTTACATATGTTAAGTTTTAAAGTGTCTACGAGAAAGAAATTACAGCCACAGACTCATTAATATAATATTCTTTTCCCTTGTTTTGTAGATAAATGTAAATCTAAGTGCTTCACGGTGAGCAGCTGCAAGGCTTGGACAGCTCTGCAAACAACCAATAATGTTTGGCAGTGTCTTACTACCAGCGTTGGTCCCTCCCTAAACTTCCCTCTCACTTCCAACTCCAGTGCTGTTTACGGCTACTTCGAAGGTATTTTTATTGCAATGTGTGCTTAATTTTAGAAAAGTCAGTGTTACATCGAATCATTATGTAGTGGTAGCAACAATAAGATACGCGACATATATAGAGCATTTGCATCGGTTAAGTGAAATGTTCGTGAGACAAGGTGAGTGTGTTGAGGAGGAAGAAAATCCTGATGTGCAAATGTTAGAATGAAGTGTTAGAAGGTATTACAGAGATTTATATTTAATGGAACGCCGTGCTGGGGTTAAGAATATTGATTAGTGAAGGGGTGGTAAGAAAATGTTGCAGATCTATTTTTTTTTTTTGGTGTAAAACATGATATACGGCAGGAAGATTAAGTTAAATGGAAAAAGATAGGTCTTATGAAGTATTAGGGATAACTAAAGGTGAACAAATAAGAGTATGGGTGAGCGTTTTTCAGCTAATTTTGCTGAGCATTACAAAAAGTTCTGTAGAGAGATTAATAATTTGATAAAATTTGGGGTTGCATAAAAAAATTGTCATTTATGAATGGAAAAGTAATAATTACTTTTAACAAGATGTAAGATTCAAAAGCTCCCTCAACGAAAATTATTTTTTTTTCATGATAATGCATTATATTTTTCTAAATATTTTATCATATTCTCATTATTCTGTATATGTAAATAACTATAAAAGAGTATTTTCTCTATCCTCTATTCTTCCTCCACCTAAATCGGTGAAGGCAGAATAGATACACTAATTCATTTAGAAAACCAGATAGACAAGAAATTTTTCCATTGCAGACTCTTTGGTGGGCAACGTAAATGCAGTACAAAGGGAAGATGGTCGTCACTACTTCATACCAAGTATACAGTTATGTTACGCCGGTGCGAAAGCTTACTGTAATAGTATTCCAGGCTTCAGGCTTGCCATATTTAGAACTGCTCTACAAGTGAACATCAGTATGATCTTGGCTTCTGCAAACCACACAGACAGTAAGGAAAATATAATAATTATTATGAAAATGCAATGATACCTTTTTTTAGAATATCATTCGTAATTTATGCAGAGAAAAACATTTAGCGTACGTATATAAAAAATAATACATTTAAAAAACATGTTTTGGGTTCAAGTCTGGTATATCCACAGAATACTTATTAACTCAGAGTCACGGTGCACTAACACTTTCGTAAGCTGGCCGACGGCTGACGTAAGCCGGGCTCATAAGACATTAACACTATACTGCCCGTCATTATTTTCATTAAATCGCTTATCTTTACACTTTAAACACACTTCCACAGAAAATCTTAGCATCAGTGTTCTTAATAAAAGTAATAGGCACTCACAGACGCCTTTCAGCCTGGTGATGCCGAATTGCTGGGTTGGGTGAACTTGCAATGCTGGGTTACTACAGTGGCTTTCTGGTAGCTTGAGTGGCTTACAAACTCCAACAACCACACTCAAGGTTACGGAGTGAAACACACACAGATTATGCCAGAAATTCTTAGTGCAACAACACAAGGTGAGCATGTGTGAGTGATTTGAGTGATCCTATACACATCTGAGTACTGGCAGGATAAAGGAGTCTCACATCTTAGAAGGAAAACGCTCAATCTCACCACTTTAAGCTGTAATGAGTGTGGAGATAAAGGTAACTAGTCTATGAAGCTTTTCCGCTTAATAAAACTTTAGCAGGTGAACTCAGGTAATGCTCGGGGAAATATCTGACTCGGGACGCCGACCCAAATAACGCTAAGAAGTGACCAGGTCGCATGAGATACAAAGTCAAAAAATAGTGATGAAATCATTGAAATTTTGAAGTTAGTTTTGGCTAGATCCCGCCGCTGTTACTTGTTCCTGGCTTGTGTGTAGATAGATGACATCTGTAGGAAGTGATCAAGTAGTTTTCTTCCTAGGTGCTCATATATGGCTTGTATGAGCACCTAGGAATCCCTGGCATAAACATAATTGGATGTTATTTTGTTTTATTAACACATCGGCCGTTTCCCGCCAAGGTAGGGTGGCTCGGAAAAGAAAAATTTTCACCATCATTCACTCCATCACTGTCTTGCCAGAGGCGTGCTTACACTACAGTTATAAAACTGCAATATTAACACCCCTCTTTCAGAGTGTAGACACTGTACTTCCCATCTCCAGGACTCAACTCCGGCCTGACGGTTTCCCTGAATTCCTTCATAAACATTACCCTGCTCACACTCCAACAGCACGTCAGGTCCTAAAAACCATTTGTCTCCATTTGCTCCTATCTAACACACTCACGCATGCTTGCTGGAAGTCCAAGACTCGCGCATACAAAACCTTTTTTTTTTCCCCTCCCTCCAACCTTTCCTAGGCCGACCTCTACCCCCGCCTTCTTGAAGTCTTTCTATTTCGTCCGGCCTCTCTACATGTCCGAACCACCTCAACATCCCCTCCTCAGCCCTCTAAATAATAGTTTAGGTAATCCCGCACCTCCTCCTAATTTCCAAACTACGAGTTCTCTGCATTATATTCACACCACATATTACCCTAAGACACGACATCACTGTCTCCAGCCTCCTCCTTGTTGCAACATACACTGAATGTATTCACACCTAACGCATTGCCAGACAAATGGCGCAAACAACCAATGAAGTGATGCAGAGTATGACTGGTCCACCAAGGTGGCAGTCAGATGACCACTATACTACATCACTCGGGCTTGGTGCCCAGGTAGATCGATCAAGTGGTAGAATAGTAAAATAGTAGTACTAGTGAAGAAATAAGAACAGAACAATTTAAAAATAGAAGAGGAGAGTTATTAGAACGAGAGTCAGAGGTATCGGGAAGATGGAAGGAATACATTGAGGAACTGTTAAATGTTGATGAAGTTAGGGAAGCTGTGATTTCGTGCATTGGGCAGGGAGGCACAATACCGTGTAGGAGTGAGGAAGAGCCAGTTGTGAGTGTGGGGGAGGTGCATAAGGCAGTGTGTAGAATGAAAGAGGGTCCAGTTTACTCCTGCTCTTCTTCTTTCTTAGGGGAATATGCCTAGAACATGCTTCGGCTGCCAGGAAGTTGATCCTTTCAAGGCACTGGTTTGGATCCATGTCATTTAAGACATCTTCCCAACATGTTTCGTTTAGGACATGGTTTACCTGGTCCCAGTTGATGTTCTTGTTGTTGAAGTTGTGTTTTGTGAAGACACCTTCACAGGTACATGCATTCTGCTGATCAGGACCCCTATGCATTACGTGGGGATATAATTTTGGAGTAGTTGGTGCTTTTATTTAATAAATGTATGGAAGAGGGTAAGGTGCCAAGAGATTGCAAAGAGAGTGCATTGTTCTTTTGTATAAAGGGAAAGGGGACAAAAGAGTGTAAAAATTATAGGGGAATAAACCTGTTGAGTATACCTGCTAAATTGTATGGTAGAGCTATTATTGGAAGAATTAAGAGTAAGACGAAGAGCAGGATCACAGATGAAAAAGGAGGCTCTAGGAAGGGTAGGGGCTGTGTAGATCAAGTGTTTGTAGTAAAATATATAAGTGAACGATATTTAGATAAGGGTGTAAAAGATTTTTGTTGCATACATGGATTTGTAAAAGTCGTATGATAGGTTAGATAGAGGAGCAACGTGGCAGATGTTACAAATGTATGGAATGGGAGGTAGGTTACTGAAAGCAATGAAGAGTTTTTACAAGGATAGTGAGGCTTAGGTTAGAGAATGTAGGAGGGATATTATTTCTTAGTTATAGTAGGCCTTAGACAGGGATGTGTGATGTCATAATGGTTGTTCAATATATTTATAGATGGGGTGGTAATGTTAATGATTCAAAATCACTTGCTTCGTGATTTCATTAATATACAGACTGCTCATGAAGGCTGGTACCCCAAATAGGATGAGGTTGAAATTAATCTCTGAGGATCGGCGATCACGTATGTTCTCGCACCAGAGAAAAACACGTTCACTTTCACCGAGTGATTGGTGTTTGAGAATTGATGGTCAAGTGGACAGAGGGATGTGTACTTTATCCTGTTCTTACAAGGCTGAGCATTGTGATTTAGGAGTGAATCCTGGCTAGCCGCAGTTCTATTAATGATTCAAATTTACTTGTTTCGTGATTTTATATATATACAGTGGTCCCTCGCTTTTCGTAGTTCTCGGCAATCGTAAATTTCGCCAATCATAGGGGTATTTTCGTATAAACATGGACTCGCTTTTCATAGGTTGACTCGCGAATAGTAGTTCGTCCAGGACGCTTACGCACGGTGTGAGCAGGGGAGGCCTCCCTAACCAGCCAGTCTGGCATTGTTTACCAGTGAGTGAAGGTCCCCTCAAGTGCTCCTACGAAATATTTCATAATATTCACTCATTTTAGTGCTTGCAAGTACTAAATAAGCTACCATGGCTCCAAAGAAAGCTCCTAGTGCCAAGCCTGTGGTAAAGAAGGTGAGAAATATGTACAGTGACAAAGTCTTGTACCATTTTAGGGAAGTGTTAAAGAGACGCCAGAAACAGAGCTCTCTCCACAGTTACTTTGCGAGACAGGACTAGAGTGACTCTAAAGGTGGTCCTAGTGGCATTAAGAAACAGAAGAGAAGCAACCCCAGAGAAGCAATTGGTACCTGAGGTGTTGCTGGAAGGGGATTCCCCTTCCAAACTGTAAACAATCCAATCTCTCTCCTCCTCCAGTCTCCCATACACTAAGAAGAATCTCCAATAAAGGTAAGTGTTATGCTGTTAATGTTTCATTCATTTCCCATTGTATTATTTATGTACTACATGTATATTTCATGTAAAAAAATTTTTTGTTTTAATACTTCTGAGTGTCAGAAACTGATTAATTGTATTTACATTATTTCTTATGGGGAAAATTGATTCGCAAATCGTAAATTTCGTTTATAGTAGCTCCTCCAGGAGCGGATTAATTACGAAAAACGAGGGACCACTGTATATATATATATATATATATATATATATATATATATATATATATATATATATATATATATATATATATATATATTATATATATATATATAATAAAATATATATATATATATATATATATATAATATATATATATATATATATATATATATATATATATATATATATATATATATATATATACTTAAAAGAAAAATAAGAAACCGTCAAAGTGGGATGTTTGAATGTGCGTGGATGTTGTGCGAATGATAAAGAGATGATTGTGGATGTTATGAATAAGAAGCTGGATGTCCTGACTTTAAGTGAAACAAAGCTGAAGGGGGTGGGAGAGTTTCAGTGGGGAGAAATAAATGGGATTAGGTCAGGGGTTTCAAATAGAGTTAGAGCTAAAGAAGGAGTAGCAATAATGTTGAAGGATAAGTTATGGCAGGAAAAGAGGGAGTATAAATGTATTAATTCAAGGATTATGTTGAGTAAAATAAGGGTTGGATGTGAAAAGTGGGTTATAGTAAGCATTTATGCACCTGGAGTAGAGAGAAGTGTAGAGGAGAGAGAGAGGTTTAGGGAAATGTTGAGTGAGTGCGTGGGGAGTTTTGAACCAAGTGTGAGAGTACTTGTGGTTGGGGATTTCAATGTTAAAGTGGGTGAAAATGTTGCGTAGAGAGTAGTAGGTAAATTTGAGGTGCCAGGGATTAATGAAAATGGGGAGCCTTTAATTGAGGTATGTGTAGAAAGAGGTTTTGGTAATAAGTAATACATATTTAATGAAAAAGAGGATAAATAAGTATACAAGGTATGATACAGCAAGTAATGAAAGCAGTTTGTTAGATTATGTATTGGTGGATAAAGGGTAGATGGGTAGGCTTCAGGATGTACATGTTTATAGAGGGGCAACTTATATATCGGATCCTTATTTAGTTGTAGCTACAGTTAGAATAAGAGGTAGATGGGACGAAAGGAAAATGGCAGCAACAAGTAAGAGAGAGGTGAAAGTGTATAAACTAAGGGAGGAGGAAATTAGGGCGAGATATAAGCAACTATTGGCAGGAAGGTGGGCTAGTGCAAGTATGAGTAGTGGAGGGAAGGAGTTGAAGAGGGTTGAAATAGTTTTAAAAATGCAGTCTTAGAATGTGGGGCAGAAGTTTGTGGTTATAGGAGGGTGGATGCAGAAGGAAAGAAGAGTGATTGGTGGAATGATGAAGTAAAGGGTGTGATAAAAGAGAAAAAGACAGCTTATGAGAGGTTTTTTACAAAGCAGAAGTGTTATAAGAAGAGCAAAAATATGGAGAGTAAAAGAAAGGTGAAGAGAGTGGTGAGAAAGTGCAAAAGGAGAGTGGGAGAGGCACTGTTAAGAAATTTTGATGAAAACAAGAAAAATTTTTGGAGTGAGATAAACAAGTTAAGAAAGCCTAGGGAACGAATCGATTTGTCAGTTAAAAACAGAATAGGGGAGTTAGTAGATGGGGAGCTGGAGGTACTGGGTAGATGGCGGGAATATTTTGAGGAACTTTTAAATGTCGATGAAGAAAAGGAAGCGATAATTTCATGCACTGGCCAGGGAGGTATAACATCTTATAGGAGTGAAAAAGAGCAGGATGTGAGTGTGAGGGAGGTGCGTGAGGAATTACGTAAAATGAAAGGGGGTAAAGCAGCTGGAACTGACGGGATCATGACAGAAATGTTAAAAGCATGGGGGGATATAGTGTTGGAGTGGTTGGTATTTTTTTTTAATAAATGTATGAAAGAAGGGAAGGTACATAGGGATTGGCAGAGAGCATGTATAGTTCCTTTATATAAAGGGAAGGGGGACAAAAGAGATTGTAAAAATTGTAGGGGAATAAGTTTACTGAGTATGCCAGGAAAAGTGTATGGTAGGGTTATTATTGAAAGAATTAAAGGTAAGACAGAGAGTAGGATTGCAGATGAGCAAGGAGGTTTTAGAGTGGGTAGGGGATGTGTAGATCAAGTGTTTACATTGAAGCATATATGTGAACAGTATTTAGAAATAGGTAGGGAAGTTTTCATTTCATTTATGGATTTAAAAAAGGCATATGATAGGGGGAGCATATGATAGGGGGATAGGGGAGTAATGTGGCAAATGTTGGAAGTATATGGAATAGGTGGTAAGTTACTAAATGCTGTTAAGAGTTTTTATGAGGATAGTGAGGCTCAGGTTAGGGTGTGTAGGAGAGAAGGAGACTACTTCCCAGTAAAAGTAGGTCTTAGACAGGGATGTGTAATGTCACCATGGGGTTGTAAAAGAAGTAAATGCTAGGGTGTTGGGAAGAGGGGTGGGATTAAATTATGGGAAATCAAATACAAAATGGAAGTTGGCACAGTTACTTTTTGCTGATGATACTGTGCTTATGGGAGATTCTAAAGAAAAGTTGCAAAGGCTAATGGACGAGTTTGGGAGGGTGTGTAAAGGTAGAAAGTTGAAAGTGAACATAGAATGAGTAAGCTGATGAGGGGTATCAAATTATTTAGATAAAGAAAAATTGGATATCACATTGGAGAGAAGGAATATGGAAGAAGTGAATGTTTTCAGATATTTGGGAGTTGACGTGTCAGCGGATGGGTTTATGAAGGATGAGGTTAACCATAGAATTGATGAAGGAAAAAAGGTGAGCGGTGCGTTGAGGTATATGTGGAAACACAAAACGTTATCAGTGGAGGCAAAGTAGGGAATGTATGAAAGTATAGTAGTACCAACACTCTTATATGAGTGTGAAGCTTGGGTTGTGAATGCTGCAGCGAGGAGGCGATTGAAGGCAGTGGAGATGTCCTGTCTAAGAGCAATGTGTGGTGTAAATATTATGCAGAGAATTCGGAGTGTAGAAATTAGGAGAAGGTGTGGAGTTAATAAAAGTATTAGTCAGAGGGCTGAAGAGGGATTGTTGAGGTGGTTTGGTCATTTAGAGAGAATGGATCAAAGTAGAATGGCGTGGAGAGCGTATAAATCTGTAGGGGAAGGAAGGCGGTGTAGGGGTCGTCCTCGAGAAGGTTGGAAGGAAGGGATAAAGAAGGTTTTGTGGGCATGAGCGTGTTAGATAGGAGTGAATGGAGACGAATGGTTTTCGGGACCTGACAGGCTGTTGGAGTGTGAGCAGGGTAATATTTAATGAATGGATTCAAGGAAACCGGTTATTTTTATATAGCCTGACATGAGTGCTAGAAATGGGAAGTACAATGCCTGCACTTTAAAGGCGGGGTTTGGGATATTGGCAGTTTGGAGGGATGTGTTATATATCTTTATATATGCTTCTTAACTGTTGTATCTGGGCGCCTCTGCAAAAAACAGTGATTATGTGTGAGTGAGGTGAAGGTGTTGAATGATGATGAAAGTATTTACTTTTTGGGGATTTTCTTTCTTTTTGGGTCACCCTGCCTCGGTGGGAGACGGCCAACTTGTTGAAAAAATAATATATATATATATATATATATATATATATATTATATATATATATATATATATATATATATATATATATATATATATATATGTGTTAGGTAAGACACATATGCAACAGTTAGGTATCTTTATTTCGAAACGTTTCGCCTACACAGTAGGCTTCTTCAGTCGAGTACAGAAAAGTTGATAGAAGCAGAAGATACTTGAAGACGATGTAATCAGTCCATCACCCTTAAAGTTTTGAGGTGGTCAGTCCCTCAGTCTGGAGAAGATCATTGTTCCGTTGTCTGAAACATATATATATATATATATATATATATATATATATATATATATATATATATATATATATATATATAATAGATAGATAGATAGATAGATAGAAAGATAAATAGATAGAAAGAGAGAGAGAGAGGGAAGGCATGTGCATGTAGATTTATAATAATAGTCGTAACTAACTTTATTTTCCAGAATATCGTAACATATTTTTGCTTATATTAATACTTTTATATTTTTTTCAGAAGTGATCATCGACCTTCTAAGTTACCAGACTTCTCCCCCTTCTCCCCCTAGCAAGTGTCCCTCAGGTCCCTATCTTCCCCCTGGTCTCACATCAAATACTCTCATCTGGGGAGATGGGACAATAAATCCTTCAACCCTGACTCTACCTATTGACAACCCAACGGATAGCCATGTTCTTGTACACATAGAAGGCAAAAAGTACCACTTGGACAACGACGATTTGATGTACTTTCTTTGTCAGTACTGATTACGATAACATTGGCATCAGTAAGCAGTCTCGAAACAAGTGAACTAATGTGACAGGAATCAAGGGAAGCAGGTGCGTGAATGCATTTGTGTATGTTCTCTCGTATATGTACCTACCTACATGTAGTTGAAGGAGTTAATCCTCAGCTCCTGGCTACTCTTCCTCGCAGGCCACTATTGGGTTCACTCTCACCTCTGCTTAAAGCTGTAAGTGAATTCTTCCTCTACCTATCCTCTTTGTAGATCGTTCCACTTCTTGACCACCACAGAACTGAAGAAAGGCTTCCCAACATCCCTATAACTTATTTCTTCACGTTCTAGTCGTGCACTCATGCTCCTGTCCATATTTTGCACTTTACAAAATATCCCCTAGACATATTTTTATCTCTTATGTAATCAGGTTTAATTCCTTTAATTTCACCCAGAGCACATAAGTCTTAGCTCCGGGACCTGTCTCGTTGTAAACCTGTGTATTTTCTTAGGTTTTTAACATGTTTAATCAAGTGTGGATTTCATACGGGTGCTGCATATTTTCAAATGGGACTGACATATACCATATAAAGTCCCATGTATGACTCCTTGCTTAGGTTCCTAAAAGATGATTTTAGATCTGTCAGACGCAATTTTGTTGTAGCACTTATTCGGTTGATATGAACCTCAGGCGATGTGCTCGGTACAAGGCTCACCTGCAATCCTATGTCGTTGAGATAGGATTGCAGCCTTTGTCATCAGTTCTCTACTCTGCTTGTGGTCTTCTTTGCCCTTTATGAATTTTCGTAACTTTACACTTGGGGTTAATATCTGGTAGCCACTTCTCAGACCAGACCTGCCACTTGTCCAAGTCCATTTGGAGTATTTCCAGTCCTCGCATGTTTGCTTTCTCCACATTAGTTTTACGTAATCTACAAACAAGGAATACCTTTTAGTCTATCGCTTCCGTCATGTCATTCACGTACACCAAAAAATGGTACTGGCCCTAATGCGAATCCTTGTGGAACCCCACCCGTCACGTACGCCATTCCGACACCTCTTCTTGAAATCCTTCTTTCTTTCACCTCACGTTTTAATTTTTCATTGTAGTGCCTTCTCTCTCATTCTTGCATGTTCTACTAGATTTTGTCCCAGTCTTGTGAGATACTCTGCCATGCCATCTGTGGACTATGGACTGAGTAAATAATTTCACCTGTATACTACATAATACAAAACTATTTTACAACCAGCTGTAACTTTTGGATAAAAGCCAATGTTTTAATCAAAGACCGCAGGAATGGAGAGAATGTTCTTTTATCAAGAAACCTGAACCAGCCATTATGTTTGTGATTGCCCTGCAGAAGAAATTATATTAACACGTCCTTTGCCTTTTTCGGATTTGTGAATTCATCATTCCTTAGCATGGTAACTGAATTACTTCTTTATTGTGTAAATGTGCAGCGTGTTATACAATAAATTTCTGTCTTGAGGAGTGTAATATTTATTTCCTTAATAAAAGAAACAGCACTAGGCTCAGGGGCCAAAATTTTTCAGTACTCAGAAAGAGCAGATTCTGCGTTGGAACTATTTTTTACCCCGTAGCCTGTTGGCTAAAGATCTCACTTCACACGGCGAGGGTAAGGGTTCAATTTCCGGCGGGGGTAGAAACATCGGGCATGTTTCTTTACATCGGATGTCTATGTTCACCCATCAATAAAATGGGTACCTGGGTGTTAGTAGACTGATGTGGGTCGCATCCTGGTACAAAACTGACCTATTTTGCCCGAAATGCTCTGCATAACAAGGGGCTTTCTGTATAGTAGTATGTTATTGATGTCAGCTAGGACTGTGTACCTTGTACATGTACTTGTAGTAAATAAAGATATTATTATTATTATTATTATTATTATTATTATTATTATTATTATTATAATCTGCGCTAAACCGTTTTTTTCTAGTTCCTCCGAATATGTTGTGTGTGTGTGTTGTGTGTGTGTGGTGTGTGTTACTCAGCTATTTGTACTCACCTATTTGTGGTTGCAGGGGTCGAGTCATAGCTCCTGGCCCCGCCTCTTCGCTGATTGCTACTAGGTCCTCTCTCTCCCTGCCCAAGAGCTTTATCATACCTCGCCTTAAAACTATGTATTGTTCCCGCCTCCACTACGTCACTTTCTAGGCTATTCCACGGCCTGACTACTCTATGACAGAAGAAATACTTCCTAGCATCCCTTTGATTCATCTGAGTCTTCAACTTCCAATTGTGACCTCTTGTGTCTGTGTCCCTTTTCTGGAACATCCCGCCTTTGTCCACCTTGTCTATTCCGCGCAGTATTTTATATATCGTTATCATGTCTCCCCTGACCCTCCTGTCCTCCAGTGTCGTCAGGCCGATTTCCCTCAACCTTTCTTCATAGGGACATCCCGTAGCTCTCGGACTAGTCTTGTTACAAACCTTTGCACTTTCTCTAATTTCTTGACTGCTTGACTAGGTGTGGATTCCAAACTGGTGCTGCATACTCCAGTATGGGCCTGACATAAATGGTATACAGAGTCTTGAACGAATCCTTACTGAGGTATCGGAACGCTATCCGTAGGTTTGCCAGGCGCCCGTATGCTGCAGCAGTTATCTGATTGATGTGCGCCTCAGGAGATATGCTCGGTGTTATACTCACCCCCAGATCTTTTTCCTTGAGTGAGGTTTGCAGTCTTTGGCCATCTAAACTATATTGTGTCTGCGGTCTTCTCTTGCCTTCCCCAATCTTCATGACTTTGCATTTGGCAGGTTTAAACTCAAGGAGCCAGTTGCTGGACCAGGCTTGTAGCCTGTCCAGGTCTCTTGTAGTCCTGCCTGATCCTCATCCGATTTGATTCTTCTCATTAACTTCACATCATCTGCAGACAAGGACACTTCTGAGTCTATCCCTTCCGTTATGTCATTCACATATACCAAGAACAGCACAGGTCCCAGGACTGACCTCTGCGGAACCCGCTTGTCACAGGCGCCCACTCTGATACCTCGTCACGTACCATGACTCGTTGTTGCCTCCCTGTCATGTATTCTCTGATCCATTGCAGTGCCTTTCCTGTTATGTGTGCCTGATCCTCTAGCTTTTGCGGTAACCTCTTGTGAGGAACTGTGTCGAAGGCCTTCTTGCAGTCCAAAAAAATGCAGTGTGTGTGTGTGTGTGTGTGTGTGTGTGTGTGTGTGTGTGTGTGTGTGTGTGTGTGTGTGTGTGTGTGTGTGTGTGTGTGTGTGTGTGTGTGTGCGTTTGTACTCACCTAATTGTGGTTACAGGGGTAGAGTCATAGCTCCTGGCCTCGCATCTTCACTGGTTGCCACTAGGTCCACACCCTGCTCCATGAGCGTTATCATACCTTTTCTTAAAGCTATGTATGGCACCTGCCTCCAATACCTCACTTTCCAGAATATTCCACTTCCTGACAACTCTGTGCCTGAAGAAATACTTCCTAATAAACCTGTGGCTCAGTTGAGTCTTCACCTTCCAACTGTGACCCTTGTTGTTGTGTCTCATCTCTGGAAACATACTGTTTCTGTCCACCTTGTCGATTCCTCTCAGTATTTTATATGTCGTTATCATGTGTCCCCTATCCCTCCTGTCCTCCAGTGTCGTCAGGTTGAATTATCTTAACCTCTCCTCGTAGGACATGCCCCATAGCTCCCGGACTAGTCTCGTTGCAAACCTTTGTACTTTTTGTAGTTTCCTGACGTGTTTGGCCAGGTAAGGGTTCCAAACTGAAGCTGCATAAAAAAAAATACATACCACGGGTAGGGTTTGAAGCCGCGGTCAGAGAGTCTCAAAAACTCCAGACCGTCGCGTTAGCCACTGGACCAGCTAGCCACAATAAGATTCGTCCAACTAGATATATTTCTACACCATAGGAAGGTTAGCATAGGCACCACTGTGTCCACAAATGCAAGTTTTTACAGACCTTCTATTGAAGCTAGCTGACCCAGTGGCAAAACGCGAGACTCTCTGACCGCGGGTTCAAACCCCACCCGTGGTATGGTTTGTTTGCAATCGTGTCATTACGATTTCGTGAGTCATAGTGAAGCTGCATGCTCCAGTATGGGCCCGACGTACACGGTGTACAGCGTCCAGAACGACTCCTTATTGAGATGTTCCCTAGTCGCCAACATGCTACAACAGTTATTTGGTTGATGTGAGCTTCAGGAGATGTGCTTAGTATTATACACAGTCCAAGATCCTATTCCTTGAGTGACGTTTGTAGTCTTTTTCCTCCCTAGACTGTACTCTATGCTCGTCTTTGCCCTTCCCCGATCTTTCTGACTTTGTACTTTGTGTGTGTGTGTGTGTGTGTGTGTGTGTGTGTGTGTGTGTGTGTGTGTGTGTGTGTGTGTGTGTGTGTGTGTGTGTGTGTGTGTGTGTGTGTGTGTGTGTATGTATGTGTGTGTGTGTGTGTGTGTACTCACCTAGTTGTACTCACCTAGTTGAGGTTGCGGGGGTCGAGTCCGAGCTCCTGGCCCCGCCTCTTCACTGATCGCTACTAGGTCACTCTCCCTGAGCCTTGAGCTTTATCATACCTCTGCTTAAAGCTATGTATGGATCCTGCCTCCACTACATCGCTTCCCAAACTATTCCACTTACTGACTACTCTGTGGCTGAAGAAATACTTCCTAACATCCCTGTGATTCATCTGTGTCTTTAGCTTCCAACTGTGTCCCCTTGTTACTGTGTCCAATCTCTGGAACATCCTGTTTTTGTTGTGTGTGTGTGTGTGTGTGTGTGTGTGTGTGTGTGTACTCACCTACTCCCCTATTTGTGGTTGCAGGGGTCGAGTCATAGCTCCTGGTAAAGTTTGTCTTGATTCATTGCAGTGCTTGTGGTTTCCCTGCTATTCCTGCCTTTTATATACTTTTATAATAATAATAATAATATAATAATATCTTTATTTACTAAAAGTACATGTACAAGGTATACAGGCCTAACTGACATCAATGACATACTACTATATAGAAAGCCGCTTGTTATGCTGAGCATTTCGGGCAAATTAGGTCAGTTTTGTCCCAGGATGCGACCCACACCAGCGACTAACACCCAGGTACACATTTCATACTGATGGGTGTACAGGGACAGGGACAGCAGGTATCTTATGGAAACACGTCCCTAATGTTTTCCAGCCGTACCGGAGGAGATTCGAATCCCGGACCTTAGTGTGTGAGCTGAGTGCGCTAGTGATCAAGCTAAGGGACACCTTAACACACATCTCCACCGAGTACCAGATCAATCAGGCTATGGGCCATCTGGTCACCAGCAGCAACAGCCTGGTTGACCAGGCAAATCACCAAACAAGTCTAGCTCAGGACCGGGCTCTGGGAGTAAAAACAACTCAAAAGTCATCAGAGGTATACAGGATCGGCCGTCAAGTGATGCCTATTTACCGTAACTGTCCCACCATAACCTAACTGCGCATCATCTGTCGAAAACCACAAAATAAAATCCTAATTTTTTTTTTTAGCCTCAGCAATGTCCTGCACTATACATAAGTGTATTTATTACATAAGAACATAAGAACATAAGAACGAAGGAACACTGCAGAAGGCCTACTGGCCCATGCGAGGCAGGTCCAAGTCTCCTACCGGCTTAAGCCAATGCACCCAACCTAGTCAGGTCAGGTCACATTGACTTAAGGGAGGAACACGGCAACCGACCTGGTACATCATGCATGTATCATCATAACTTTGATTACCAATCTAAAATTGTCAACTTGGTACTTACGTATCCAAATAAAAACACAGCCTTTTAATAAGTTATATACACCAACACTGAAAGTTTAAAGGCAATCAGAAAATCGTTTTCTATTACTCGGAAATCTTCGAGGAAGAAGAAAATGTGTTAGGGTATATTACAAGCTCTCCAGTAAAACCGTAAGAGACAATAATTTTTAGACTCACTAAATTTGTGAAATTAAAAGGACAAAAAATGGGCAAATGTTCCTATTTCAAATTATCTTCAACGCTGCTTAAAAAAAAAATGGATTTTTTTTTATGGAACTGAAATTAACATGTGCACTTTAATGCTTTCACTATTTTACTATTTTAGTAAATATTATTTTTAAATTTCGAGTATTATGCAGCCTTCTGGAGCACTAATAAACTGGGTAATCAAGCTGATAAATTAAATAGACGTTTATCCAGCTTAAAATCTACCTCAATAATTTTTTATTCAGTTGTCTTCAGCTATTTGAGAGATATTTTCTATATAAAACCTAAAATAAATTTATTGCATGCTATCGCATGTCTCGTAGCATAGCAAAAAACACGTGTTTCAATATAGTCAGTCAAATGACTTCCTTGACGGAGAAACCTCCTCCATCGAAAGTCAGTCTTCTGGACACTGGACTGTTATATCTCTAAGTATAACAAGTTAAAGTGGAATTCCCTAAGTTTCGCTATGTGTATTGATCGTAGGGACATGATACGTCTGAATGTATTGTTACTCTGACTGATTTTAGCTTTAGCTCCTGGTTCTCCATATTATTATTATTATTATTATTATTATTATTATTATTATTATTATTATTATTATTATTATTATTATTATTATTATTATTATTATTGTTATTATTTTCATGAGGAATTGCTAAACCTGTAAGAGTCATGCAACGTTTGGGGATTTGGAAGTAAACATTTAATCCAATGAAAAGGAGAGTGTCTCCAGGTTCCTGAATTATCTATAACTCTTAAGCCACATGAATTTGCTGATATCCATTCCAGGACTTCTTCAGATAACTGAGTTACACTTGATCACTATAACTAGATGCATTATAAACTTATGCTACACTCTAGGTTACTTTTTGTGTATTGGCGGAAGTATAGGGGTTATGGAATAGTGTGATACCTTTTGCTGGATAGCACAGCGACCGAAACAGGTCTATTTAATATTATTTCATGCTAAAAAAAAGGACTACTCTTAAAATAAGGAGCTGGGACACTCCAACTGATTGACTAGACTTTCTTATAGTTAACACAACATTGCATATCTGTAACAATATATTTTAACTTTATAGATGATATTACTTACAAATATAAAGTATGAATGCTGCGTAATTTAAAAGTAACTCAGTTGATATAAAATTAAATTTGCTTATTAGTAATGGACAGCAATGGCAACACTTCAACGACATGTATTTAAAATTCGAGCAACTTTCAGACAGGAATAGAGGAGAAATTATAAAATACGTTAATGTAACTATATCCTAGTTACTTTAAGGAATAAAAAAAAGTATTAAATTAAAAATATATAATCTTAATATTACAAGATTACAATGCATTGACAAAGGATAGGAAGCAAAATAAATAACGTTTACATATACATATTTTATATTCAAACAGCATAGTAAAAATAAGCATGATCATTGATGCAATGCTAAATATCGACACCATGCCTAACCCTTCTAGGGTAGGGTAGGTGCCTGAGCCCGAGCTTTTAGCTCATAAGACTGTCATTCCCATTAGCCCCCTTGGGCGGGGATGGCAGACCAGAGAGGCCTAGCTTGTGGCTAGGCCTGGGGACAGTTGGTCCCAAAGATGAGGAGGTACTTGTGCCTCCTCCCATGGGAGACTTAGGTCTCAGACACTCCCTAAAGAGGGAGCCAAGGCCGGGCCACCACTTGGAAAAGGCCCGGGCCGGGAGAATACCGGCTAATCTTTAATAATAAACAATGCTAAAAATATTCCTGTTAAATTCGAGCAGAACTAAGCTACTGAGAAGGAAGACAATTAACTAAGCATAACGAACCAGCTGTATGTCTACAGAGTTTCGTACATAAAATAAGAAATGACTCACAATTTAGGTACCAAAACTTGTAGTGAAAACTGCAATATTTCAAGCATTATTCAAGTTCATCTGTAATGAATAACAATTATAAAAATCCAATGTAAGAGTTTTTTGGTAAGCAATAAGTAAGTACATAATAACTTATTAAACTAAAATTAATTATGTCATTACCACTTGACTTTCTTTTTCTTTCTCGTTAAGGCCAAAGCAATCCTTTAAGATATTAAGAGAAGTCACATAGGCTAAAAAGATGGCACCATTTGTTGGGAAAGCACGGACGGCCATCATACAATATCCTCTGGTAAACACCAGTAGACCCTCTTCTTTATAGCTTTTCATTACACAGTCCCAAGTATTCTGCAAGGAAATATAATTTATGAAATAAAGACACAGTCTGTAATTATACTAGAATATTATTTACATGTTTAGCATAAACTATAGCCTGAAGAGGCTTGATAACTCCACTGAATTATTTCTTTCATTTATTGTAAGTTCTGATCTCTCTCTCTCTCTCACTCACACTCACACTCACACTCACACTCACACTCACACTCACACACAGATAGAATCAAGAGAAAAGCGAGCAGAGCTGCAAAATATATTTGGGAAAACTTAACTGCTACTTCAGGAAATATACGAAAAGGGAAAAGAACAGCCTAACATACGTGTGTGGCAACAGTTTCTCAAAGGATATGAAAAGTAATTTTGAAGACCTACCATGGTAAATTTTTACAGGACGAAACTGTAAAGGTATCTAAACAGAAAATGAAATTCCAATATGAGAGTTCAATTTCAGCCAAATTAACTGCAGCATTGTGACAGGCAATGTTTAGTTGAGCAGTTTCTTGGAGGCCGTCCAGGACTACTTTTTAAAACTGTTTGCAAAAGAACCAACTAAAAGGAATATCCAGATCAATAATCTTGGGATCAGTGAAGAGGTGGGGAAAATAATCACAAATCACATATTAAAACACAATGTTTTTAGTGAGCACAAAAAAAGAATGTATCCCGGGATTCATACGCCCATCCCCCCCTACCTTTATGCACGCGAAAGGAAGTGCGGGGTGTCATAAATTATATTGAAGCAAAATAAAAAAAATCAGTCTAGGGTGTGTAGGTTGTGTGGGTGTGTGTGGGTTTGTTTTGGTGTGTTTTGTGTGTGGGGTGTGTGTGTGTTGTGTGATTGTGGTGGGTGTGTTGTGTGTGTGTGTGTGGGGGTGTGTGTGTGTGTGTGTGTGTTGTGGTGTGTGTGTTTTTATGTGTTGTGGTGTGTGTGTGTGTGTGGGGGTGTGTGTGGGGGTGGGGGTGGGTGTGTGGTGGTGTGTGTATGTGTGTGTGTGTGTGGTGTACTGATTTTACTCCCTTCAAACTTTTTACAACTTTCAAGGGAGCATTACGAAACTAAGAAAGGTTCCCATACATACATTTCTAGTTTCCAATTTCGTTTGAAACTTAGGCGCTTTTTCGGAGCATATATCATCATGGCTATTTACGCCATTAAACCCCTAAGAAAATTGGGTAAGAGGCCCGTGAATTATCGGACATACTAGGACAGGATGACAAAAAATACGTACGCGTGAAGGGAAGAGGATAGGGGCTCAAGACTAAAAAAAGGGACACAAGGGGTTTATTTGGGAAATTCAAAAAAAACGAATCAGGGGTTTAAAAAGCATTCTTTTAAACCCCAAGTGGTCAGAAAGAAAATTCATGCATTAAAACGGAGTGCAGTACTTTATGAAACGGTTTGTAAACTCTCAAAACTATGAAAGCCTTTGTCACTAAATTTCCCCTAACGGCTATTTATGAACAAATAAAGCTGAAATACACAAATTTAAAAAACACCACACGCGCCACTCAGGGGCTGTGAACGACCCTCGCAAAAACGACTAGGGGATACACAGCTTTTAGTTTAAATGGGCATTCTAAATTTCCCGGGTTATATCTGGGGCCCATAATTTTAGTCATTAAATGGTAAGGCTTTAAGCTACTTTGTCTAAAGGAAAAACACTTTACAAATAAAACAAATTTTTGTGGGGTAAATTTACAGCATAGGGGAAATCCGTGAATGATTAGAAATAATACCCCACGAAAAATTTATTTAAATTTTCAGGGTTTTTTTAAAACCTTACCTTGACCGTGGGGTTTGTTGGGCAATCAGCCTGATTCTCGATTGATGAATAAAGGGCAAAATTTCTGTCCAGATAGTAGTCCTATACATAAAATTTTAAAAAAGATATGTGAAAAGATAAAATTAAATAACAACAGCTTAGCTGAAGCTATTATTTCTTTTAAAAGGGATAACTCCCCTAAAATCTTTCAAAATAAAAAAACTTCTGTACCCTATTATATATCGTTAAAAAAAAACTCTTAAATACCAAGAGGACTTAAGAGTTGTGTATATACGCTTTCAGTTAAATTTAATTAATATTAGGGGGCTTTTTTTTTTTCATTTTTTTAAAAAATAATATTACAACAAAAAAAAAAATATA